AAGACATGTCAGATTACACGACATTTTCGTCACCTGGGTAGTAGTAATGTGTTGCTAGATATCGCTCATTGTTTATAATATTAGATATGTGATTTAATATTATTGCTAACGTTATAAGAACCTACAGGGTCACACACATAGAGTACTTATAGTGGAATGGATGATTAAATTAAATATGGTTTAATTTAATTATGTGTTAATAATTTTTAAATTATTTAATATATTAACACATATAATTTATTTGATTAAATATGATTTAATTAAGTAAATGAGAATTGAAAATTGATTAAATTAAATATGATTTAATCTAATTAATATTTTATTTAGTTAAAAGAGTTTAATTAAATATAACTAATAATTATTTAATTAAATAGTTTAATTAAATAAGCTTGTGCTTATTTTGGAAAATCCCAAAATAAGAGCATTAGGGTTTTAGAAGTTCTCTATAAATAGAGGAGCTCTTTTCCCTACCAAGGTTAATTGTCAATTTTCTCAGAACAAGAAACGACTAGCACTGCATTCCACTTTGTACTCGTGTGGACTTTGTAGAGACGATGGTATTTTCCATGTCCGCGATCAAAGTTAAAGCATACTTCAAGAGGTAATTCAGAATCCTTATTATGTGTTTGATTTGTGATTAATGGTTTAATCAAGATTCGTTCATAGGGATTGCTCCGATAAGAGGATAATTTTTTGAAAAAACCCTCTTAGAATCCCAACACTGATGCCCATGGGTACCACTTCTGCATGTTCTTCTTCTGATTATGATGTGTATCCATCTGATGTGGAGGCTATGGAAGCTTACATGAAATTTGAAACACAAGAATTCCATCAAGGTCTCTCAAAGAAATTAAGGGATTGAATTACAATTTTCCATCAAGTTTGGTAACATTAAAATTAAAATTAAGGTCTTAAATTTATACACATATATATTTAGGGGTACTTATGTAATTTAATGTCTAAGCGGGTGTGGTTTCAGGTGCGAGTTTGAGTGAATCCAAACTTGCACCCGAAATATAGGGTGGCACCCGAACCCGAACCTATTCAACTTAGGTTTTCACCCATTGACTTGGCTTCGGGTGTAAGTGGGCCCCGTGGGTTTGGGTCTGCCTGCCATCCCTATATAGAAGTGACAATTCATCTTTTTCATCAAAACTTTCATCGTCAAAATCTTCAATTTCTTCAGCTTGGAGGGCTTTACTCTTTTCTGACTTGATTCTTTTTGTTCTAGACTTTAGAGCAATATATTTATTTCTTTTCTGAGGCTCATCTTCTTCTAGTTTTATCTCATGACTTCTAAGTGAACTAATCAACTCTTCAAGAGTTATGTTGTTTAGATCCTTAGACAGTTGTAGAGCAATGACCATAGGTCTCTATCTCTTCGAAGGACTTCTGATGATTTTCTTTACATGATTAGTTGTGGAGTAACCTTTGTCCAGAACTTTGAGTCATGCTACCAAGGTTTGAAGCCTTGAGAACATAGTTTCAACTATTTTTTCATCTTTCATCTCAGAGTCTTCATATTTCTGAATTAAGGCCAAGGCCTTAGTTTCTTTGACTTGTGTGTTACCTTCATGTGTCATTCTTAGTGAGTCAAGAATATCCTTTGCAGTTTCTCTGTTTGTAATCTTCTGATATTCATTGTACGAGATAGTGTTGAGGAGGATAGTTCTGGATTTATGATGATTCCTGAAGTTGCGCTTCTGATTTTCACTCATACTTTTCGTGGGAATATGAATACCAAGTGGTGTGGTAGGTGCTTCATAACCATTTGTAAAAATTTCCCAGAGATCAATATCATAGACTATAAAGAAATGTTCTATTCTATCTCTCTAATAGTCAAATTTCTCTCCATTAAATATTGAAGGTTTAACATTGTATCTATCGTTATCGTTTGTGTTAGCAGCAACCATTTTAAAAGATTTTTCTCAAACTGGATCTCTCTACATGATTAAGTGTTTGATTAGAAAATCAATAACAGAGTTGGAGCTCTGATACCAATTGAAGGTGGAGAAAAACACAAGAAAGAGGGATTTGAATTGAGTTTTAAAATTGTTCATTTAGAACCTTTTTTACACAATGCTTAGAAATACTTTTCAAAAACGATTAGAAGTGATTTCCACAAACGTTCAGAATTAGAAACAAGGCTAGAGTTAGAAATTATAATTAAAAATAGAAATAAAAGACACTCCTGGTTTATCCAGGTTCACCTTAGAAAAGGTTAATCGTGTCCACCCGCCAAGGTGATTTCGCCATAGAAAAAGACTTAATCCACTATAACCAAACTGATTACAATTGCACGAGCTATCCACCGATGACTAATAATTTGCATGAGCTACCCGTTGGTGATTAACAATAATGGTAATCTGTTAGTGATCCCTTGAGAATTTTGACCTACCAGGTCCTTTAAGAGATATAAGGATCATTGACTCCTTAAGGCTTCTGACCTACCCGGTCCCTGGAAGGAGATTTATCTATGCCTTAAAAAAGGACTTTCTCATGCCTTAGAAAAGGACTTTCTCAACTATCCGTTGTATCATACCCCAAATTTACCATACCCTTATATCATATTTAGGGTTCCTTTTTAATAAATCGTATTGTTCAATTTTTATTTCTACAAGGGTGTAAACATGGAAAAGGGGCGTGTCGATTTAAAATGGACCATCAATATCTGATGGCCCATTAGTTTAAAAAAAAATAGGAGTCCATTTCAAGGGAGAGGTATTGTTTTAACCAATGGGGTGTGAACGAATCTTTTTTCATCAAATTCCATTAAGGTTTCAGTCTTTTTTTGGGAAGGGGGTATAAAACAATTTTGTTTTTGTTGAGGCCCAATACAATTGAATCAGTATGGCCCATTAAGCTATTCAGTCGGCCCTTTTGTTTCTTTTTGTTGTTGGATAATAAAGGACATGGGGTACGTTTTTGTTGTCATAAGATTGACCCATATCAATTTATTCCAAGGGCCCAACTTTTTTAATCAGAATAATTGAAAGTCAATTTCTGGCTTTTTTCATTATTATTCAATTTTATTAATTATTATTATTAATCATTATTATAATTAGTATTATTATATTACCATTAACATTATTATTATCTTTTTATAATTATCTTTTATTATTATTATAATTAATTATTATTAATATTATTATACCATTAGGAATATTGTTATTATTGAAGTTATTTTTATTTTTGTTATTTTTTTTATAAATGTTGACATAAAAGCCCAAACAAGCAGACCCATTTTGTTTTTAACATACCGTTGTTTCCAAAAAAGTGCATGGCCCAACCATTTTTTAACATGTTGTTGTTTCCAAAAAGCGCATAGCCCAACCAAGCAGAATCCATATAGGGAGCAAGTCCAGTCCAATAGGCAAAACAAAATACGTGTTCAAAATAGCAATCAATGTGCTGATTCATCAATGAGTAACACATATGGTACAAATTATTGAAAAAACGCATGCTTTAACACAAAAGCAAGCACTGCGAATTCAAGAAGGAATGAAAAGGATTGTTGCTATCCTGCCTTTTTTTTTTTTTTAATTTTAAAATTTATTATCTATATGATTAAAACAAAGTTTTGATTAAGGTTAATAGTATTGGACCATGACATTATATTCCTTAAAAGCCCATTGAAACTTTCTACTACACCCTCAATGGAATTATTATTCTTTCTATTAGTTACATTAATTTATTTATTTAGGTTTGATATTAGACCATGACATTTTACTAAGTTTTGTTTATTAATTTAACTTCGTAGTTAATTTAAATATTTTATTTCACCACATCAAAAATAAGTCGTATATAAATCATATTTTTATAATCGAATCAAATTTTTAATATTTTATAAAAAATAGGATGTTCACCTTCGAGTAATTAAATCAGTCGACACATCGTCTATCGGTTTATTATTCAAAATCAAACAATTAAAATTCATATAATTCACCAAATTTACCGTCTGCGAGCGACACGTGGCCAATATCTGACCACGTGATGAGGAGACTATATCATACTCTCCCGTTGTACACTTTAAAACAGCTAACCAACATCAAAACATTTTTCAACTAACTTAATCAAAACTTTAAGATTTTTTTTTTCAAAAAAGGTTAAATAGCATCGTCTTCGAATCAAACTACGAACTGCGTCTACAATCACTCAACTTACAACTCAGACAAGGTTCGAGGTTAACTCGAAAGCAATTCTACGCAATCTATAAAAAACAAAACCAACCGCGAACTACGAAATGAGACTTTGATTCCTCCTAAGAGGATACGTAGGCATACGATCAAAAATTGTGGCGAGTCCCCCAAACTAAAATTAAAACTCTTTTTTCTTAATAAAGATTAAAACTTTATTTTATAAACATCGCGCTTCTAAACCTAGTATCCTTGTGAACAAGGTAGATAAGATGTGCCTAACACCTTCTCCTCGTTTAGAACTGAGTCCAAACCTAAAATCTCTAACTTTTTAGAATTATCCTTTATATTATCTTCCTTAAAATAAAAATTAAGGGTGACGACTCTCAAATTTTAAAACGAGTTACAACATGTTAAATAGGAAAATACACTTTAAAATATAATATTATGATAGATCTAATCGCTCTTAATTATGATCTATGATGAATTATTTAAACGATAATTCACTTTAGACGCCAAATTAAAAAAACGGGTCATATTAACAAATACATTAAATACATATAAAAAATATGAGTATCTTTATAAACTCTTAAAAAATGCTCAAGAGACATTAGTTAACATTTCGCATAAAAGATTATATATAATTTTCAATTTTTAACAACAAAAAAAAAATTATATATTATTTTAATGGCCTCACTAAAATTTACTATAGACCTCAAAACAAATTGTTACCAGAACACAACCACCAATATTACACTTTGAATCGAGCATCTCGATGGGTCAGTCAAAAGTTGAAAATTGAATTTATAGGTTCTTCTGCTTTGGTCTACATCGGCGCCCAAAATCACCACCGCAACCGCCGCCATGTTCAGGAGGAACTGGAATTGTGCTACCTTATATTCCAGACTCGTCAATTCTTCTTCATCTTCATCATCTTCTTCTCTTCACAACTTTACTCATCTCCGTCCCTCTTTCTCTTTCTCTTCCTCATCGTCTCCCAATCTCCATCTCGCACCTTCCGTTGCCGCCTCTAAATCATCCGATCTCCTCTCCGTTGTACGCCACTATGGAAACTGTTACTCCGAACTCTCCAAAGCTCGTCTCAGGTTTCACCTCAATAACTACTATTATTTTTATTATCGCTTAGGTTTATTCTTCTTCATATTCATTCTGAGACGGAAATTTTGGATCTTAGGGTTGTTCTCAGAATTTGAGTTTCTGAGACAGGATAGTATTTTGACTAACTGCTTTATGGTTTCATTGCAGTTTGCTCGTGGTTGCAACTTCTGGGACTGGATTTGTCTTGGGGAGTGGTGGTGCTGTTGATCTCTCCGCACTTTCTTACACTTGCTTGGGTACCATGATGGTTGCTGCATCTGCTAGCACTTTAAATCAGGTTTGTTTTTCCGAAGAATATTGACTTCACTTACGGGTTTTATTTTCATTGTTTTGAGAGTATTATTATAAAGAGATAAAAATGATTTTGTATATTTAATCAAAACTCTCCAAAGTCCTCCCCCACTGAGTTCCCCCTGGAGGGGGCTACTCTCCCTTAGTCCTCTCCCCTTTCTTTTCCTCATGCCTTTATCCTCTAAGTCCTCCTTTTCCTGTCCCTCCAAATTCCCAAACAAAACCTTAGATTTTTTTTTATCAACATAATGAAATCTATTAAATGGTTGTATCTATTAGGTATTTGAAGTAAGAAACGATGGCATAATGAAGAGAACGAGTCAGAGGCCATTACCCTCGGGACGCATTACGATACCTCATGCAGTTGGCTGGGCATCCTCTGTTGGTTTGGCTGGCACTGCCCTACTAGCAACTCAGGTAGTGAAATTGCTTACCACGTTGATCATATGCTTTTTTTTTAACTGTAAATCCCAAATATATTTCTTACAAAATTCTTTATATTCTTTGAGGTGAGGGACTAACATTGTATCTTTATGGCAAGGTTGTTCCAGACTAATATGTTAGCTGCTGGGCTTGCTGCTTCCAACCTGATTCTGTATTCATTTGTATACACGCCATTGAAGCAGATTCATCCCGTAAATACATGGGTGGGTGCTGTAGTTGGTGCTATTCCACCACTTTTGGGGTAATTGTATATAGTTTTTTTTTTCTTTTTCTTATGCATTGCAAATGTCAGAGAGTGATATATTTGTGTGGTGTTTTAATATTTGAACCATGTGATATGTAAAATCCCTTTGAATTTAAGTTGTTCCACCCTAAGTTGTTGTGGAGAGAGTAAGAGTTTTGTGGAAATTTATAGTAACCGGTCCCTTTCAAAAGTTCAATCAAACACTGAAGTTGAAAATATTTTCCTACCCTTATTTTGTTCCTGTTGTTTCTTGTTTTCCATAGTCCATACATGTAAAACATCAACAACAACAACCGAGCCCTCATCCAACTAAGTGGGGTTGGCTATATGGATCAAACTATGCCATAATGTTCTATCAAAAATCATATTTTTATCCAACTCATTAATCTCAAGATTTTTCTTAATAGTTTCCATTATAATTTTTTTAGGTCTACCTCTAACTGTATGACGACTACCTTTCGTCTGATCTACCCTCCTTACTACAAAATCCACATGTCTTCTCTCTACGTGTCCAAACCACCTAAGCCTAGTTTCCACCATCTTTACCACAACACTCTCTAATAATGTCATTTCTAATCTTGTCTAGTTTTACCACACATTCAATGTGATATCCTTATCTCTGCCAGACTCAGTTTATTTTCGTGTTGGTTCTTTACAGTCCTACATTCTGTGATTCCTGTCCCATACAATATCCTGGGTCAATTAAGGATAAAGTATATGGATACTCTCTTTTTTCCCAATGTATTGTATAGTTTATGGAAGCCTCTTGTTTCATCTCACCTATCTGTTGTAATGCAGAGCGCACTCCCAAAAGCCAGACTGGCAAAGGGGTAAAACCTCTACTTTAAACCCCAAGTCTATATGCGAGGAGTCACGTTCTTGTGTCAATATCATCTTATTTCATGGAGTCCTGTTTGTTTGTGTGCACTAATCCTAAACCTACGTACTAATTTGCATGCTCGTCGTGATTAGATGAGTTGAATCCCACTCTGTTCTCACCATGTATGGGAACATGCATGCATATTTCCTGCTGTCCCTCACTTTTTTTGTTTGTTGTTTCAGATGGGCTGCAGCTTCTGGTGACATTTCTCTAAATAGTTTGATTCTTCCGGCAGCTTTGTATTTTTGGCAGATACCACATTTTATGGCACTTGCGTATATGTGCCGTGATGACTATGCTGCGGGAGGGTATGTTCATATATCTGTTTTTTATAGTGATGAAGCTTTTTTTTCATGCTACTATTATTATTAGTAGTAGTTAGCGTACAAATTATATTTTCACTGATGATCCAAACTATACCATCCTTTACCTAATCACACATTTGGTACATTGCAAATTTAGGTTTAAGATGTACTCTCTTGCTGATACGTCTGGGCGGAAAACCGCGGTGGTGGCTTTGAGGAACTCCATATATCTAATCCCTTTGGGATTCTTGGCATATGATTGTGAGTATATAGATATTTCCTTCTACTAGAAACATTTTGATGAATATTTCATCTTTGAGATTCTTTTATCTCAATTATCTGCTGCAAGTATGATTAATCACATACTTCAATATGATTTTTAAGTCTGCAAAACCCATCAAGAAATCCATTTAAATAAGATTATGTGCATAAAGTGAATGTTTTGACCACATTGAGAATCTTGAGGCTCACGTTTCTGCACATGTCAACAGGGGGCGTGACTTCTGGATGGTTTTGCCTAGAGTCCACTGCACTTACACTTGCAATAAGCGCCGCAGCGTTTTCATTTTACAGAGACCGTACTAAGGAAAGAGCTAGGAGAATGTTTCATGCCAGTCTTCTTTATCTCCCCATTTTTATGGCCGGGCTATTAGTTCACCGTCGCACAGATAACCAACAATTCTTAGAAGTCAACGCAGAGGGTTTGGTGAAATCTTCCTCCTCTGTGGAATCTTCAGATATCGATGATAAAAATGGTGATCAGAAGATCAAGGGTCGGCAAAGGAACCGAGCACGTCCACCTGTAGCATATGCTTCCTATGCACCTTTCCCGTTTTTGCCTGTTCCTTCATACGACATTGTTTAATATTTATCATGTGTTCAGGGATTGCATGACTACACTCTACACCTTATCATGATTGGCTGATTTGAATTATTCTTTGTAATTGTTTTTTCAATGGCTTTTAGAGCCATTAAGAGTTTTGCATTGAAAATGGAAGAGGTATATAATGTAATAAATAAAGCATAGTTACTCTGTAATTTGCATAAATTTGCAAATAATTATTTTTCTTATTTTTTTCTCTCTTTACTTTTCCCCCTTCTCTTATATTTCAGTTTAATATTTGTTTTTGGGAAGGAAAAGATCATCATTAAGCTCCAAAGTATGCATGAGCATCAAAGTTTCAAAGATACATGATCAATAAAAGTAAAATAAATTTAAGAAAAGTGCTAAGTATTGCTAACGAGTTTGTGAAATTATAGCTTTAACTCTAATTAGTGCTAACGAGTTAGTAAGGTTATATATTTTCATAGCTTTAACTCTACGTCTCCACCTTCCCATGTTTTCCGGAAACTAGAGGTCTAGAGTGGAAAGCTTGATCAATATACTGAAAAAATGCATGTAAGCATTTGTTGCTTTCGGGATACTCATACTTAGAGCATTGCAAAAATTTCATATCCCATCTCATATGGATGAAAAATACCCTATATAATTTTGAAAATATCCTTGCGTAATTAGAAATGTATTTTCAGGACACATCTTTTTTTTCTTAACATTAGTTAAAATTCGAAATGTAATTCTGATTCATATGCAGACAATAACAGAAAAAGTTATATATATATATATATATATATATATATATATATATATATATATATATATATATATATATATATATATATATATATATATATATATATATATATATATATATATATATATATATATATATATATATATATATATATATATATATATATATATATATATATATATATATATATATATATATATATATATATATATATATATATATATATATATATATATATATATATATATATATATATATATAATCTAACAACAATCTAAAAGTCGATATACAAAATGCAATGCAAACCAAAATACATATACAACTACGAAGACTACTGGGTATGGCGGACTCTGAGTCGGTTTGTCACCCTCCTAACGTTCCTCCGTTGCCTCAAGTATTGTAGAGCCTCCGCCATGATGGCATCTAGAACACCTTTAACATTAGAGTCATCAGAAAACAAACCTCCATCAATACTCGCATGTGTTATCTGCATGATACGACGATACTTAAGCAACACATCAGTGGCATGATTAACCCTCTTCTGCTCCTCCTCTAGAATCTCTTGATGAGCTGATCTCGACGGGTTTCCTAGAGCATTTTGTACTAGATATGAATGGGACACTCTAAAGAACCATATGATATAACCGTCCACGTAGCTCCGATCGTATGATGCTAATGTTTCATCAGGGGAGGAGCAGGCATAATAAGATTATGGGGAATATATTGTATGTATCTAAATTGACGCATGACGCGCTCAGGAAGATGAGCAGCCGTCTTGCGCGACCCGCAAGCCAACCATCCAAAATACATTGTAATATCGTCAAATAAAATTGTGACACGGTGGTTGACGTAGGTATGAAAATGTATATCGTCAAACACCAATCAGTCAATATACACCTGGAACAGCTTTGTCGCCTAGCTCCCTAGGAACGGGTCGAATGGAGCGGCACGCGGCCTTTCTTCAGTATAATTTGAGGCAAGTGACCAACCCGAGATGCGAGGAAAGTGTTGTAGGACTCAGGCCTGAAATTACAATAATTATTAGTTAGTCACAATAATTAACAAAATGACACACAAATAATATAAGACCAAGACATTTTACCGTCAGAAGTGTGATGTTGTCGGTCATCTGTTTTGTCTTCCACTTAGTGTCTCCAGACAATTTATGATACAAGTACACCAAACAAGCAACCCCCCAGTTTCACTCATGAATCTGCTCAAAATTGTCAAAGTATCACAGGTACATGAAATCAGTGTAAGTGGTACTAGTGTCCACAGAAATGATCGTGCCAAACTAGATACAAAAATGTATGCTCTCATAGCACACCTTCGGTGATGAGCTACCTGCTCGGGATCACCATGAGCCTGTCGTGCACGCTGTAGCTCAATCGTGAACACCTTCTTCAAATAACTAAATCTGACGTGAGCACCACAGATGGAGTCCATCTCATCCATAACACTCTTAGGGGTAACTCCCAAACTCTCAATCAATAACTCCAACGCCTCCTCTTTGTCACACGTATCATGGTCTAAAAACCTCCCTTTTATTGGAAGATGCAGCAGACACGCGACATCGTGTAACACCCTGATTTTCTTTATTAATTATTTTATTAATTATTTGTCATGATTAATTATTATTTGACTTGATAATTATTTAATTATTTGATTTTGGTAGATTATGTGAATAATTAATAAATTGGAATATGTGTGTATATATGTTATTGGATTAATAAGTGTGAGAATAGCATTATAGATTAATTGGACCTTGGTGATGGATTAATGTGAGTGGGTGAGATAAACTCATTAGTGAAATGTAGTAAGTATGAAGAGAAAATAAAATTATAAAGGGAATTATCAAAACAAAAGAAGAGAAGAAAGTGGAAAAGAGGGAAAGAAGGGAGAAGAAGGAGGAAAACTTAGAAAGTATCTACATTTAAGATAAGGATGGATATTCCTTGATTTATGAGAGTATATAATGGTATGTGATGGATAGTAACATGAATTAGGACAATTTTATTAATTTCCATGTTTGAATCACTTAGGTTTTTATTTGGGAATCCATGCGTTTGATGTATGATTGTATAGTAATGCTTGTGATATGTTGGTGTGTTCGATGAGTGATATACTATGAAAATTGCAACTTATTTGGGTAAAAAAATGGTGATTCAGGGAAGAAAACCGCACCATAGAATCGTTGTTTGTGCAGTAATAAAGGCAATGGCATTGGATGTCACCCTCATGGCGTTCACCGTGGTCTTTCAACATGCGGTGTTCGTCGTTACCTCGTGGCATCCACCATTATGTTGCAGAAGTAGATATAACTTATAATATTCGTATCTTTTGAATCGTAACTCTATTTTGAATGTCGTTCGAAGTGTTAAAAAGTTAGCGTGATATTATTTTCAATAAAAATGGTCTTGTTGGCAATAAGTGATTTAACAATAACGTTATTATGTAAATAAATTTTAATTGTGTTGTTTGATTTGTGAATTGAAATTGGATGAGAATAATATTATTGAGCATTGTTTGCTATATGTTATTATAATGTGTTGAAATGATGAATGCTATGAGAATACATTATATGTGATTGATGTCATTAATTATGTATGTTTGTGCAAAAGGTGAGATGATTCATATGGTATGGATTATGTGTGTTGTGCTTGTGCATTAAGATTTGGAGATAGTCTTGATAGCATATGATTATTGGTATTTTCACATGCATTTATTTGTTGTTAAGAGACAATGTTCGGTAATTCCATGTGGGCTATTGACTTGTCCTAAACTTAGAGGACTGATTTGAAGTTTAGAGGACATGCTTTTTGGTGGTTATCTATCTGAGAGATGGACTCGACAGGACCTGTAAGGATATAAATTGGTATTACATGTATATTGCATAGAGTTTCGTTGGAGTCACATGTGTCGATGTGAGTTGTTGAATTGGTGTACAATGTGTGATAATTGTGTGGATATTACATTATATGGTATTTGTAATTGATTGTCTTTGAATCATAAATCGATGAACAATATTGTATATGGGAATATGTGAAGTGTGAAAAATTCAATTGTATGTGACGCAATTACTTATTATTATATATTTCCATAATGATATGAATTCTCACCTTTATGTTGGATGATAGTTTATATGAAATCGCTCAGGTACCGAAGTTAGTGGTGCTTCTGACGAGGATTAGACGGAGGAGCTAGTTCTACTTATCTGCTTTCTTAGGTAGCGAGTCATTACTCTGATCTATGTAACACGAGGGATGTTTAGAACTCATGTTTAATTATTTTGAGAGATGTTTTGTATCACTCTCTTTTATTTGACGATGTATGAGATTATGTAATCATTGACCTTAATGTCTAATATGTTATGATATGATTGTCAGTATGAGATTTCAATCACTAATATCATTATGAAGAGATAATATTTCCGTTATGAGATGCAATTATGTTAGCGTATAGAACATGAATTCAAATGTGTGTTATGATCATGAACAATATGCATGTTTTATGTGTTATTTCGTGAAGTACATGTGACACCCTCTTGAGATATGCATGATTTTACTCTTATTTATGTCATATATTATGTGTGAGGTTTAGGGGGTGTTACATTAGTGGTATCATAGCAGGTCGGTCGGTCCGGCCAGGTTGTCTAATGTTGTTTTTTCCTTAGTACGCGACATGTGTGTGAAACACTATTGATAATTGCTTGTTTTTCCTAACTACTTGGTTGCAGGAGTGAGTTTAAAATAAGTGAAGGAGGAGATTTGCTTCCCTTAGATGTTTATGGTGTGAAGAGTTGGTTTTTTGTGCTTAGGTAATTTTGAGCTTAAGATGAAGGACGTTATTGCAGTTGGGTAACAATGGTTTATGCCACCATCATGGTTGTCGGCTACCTATTGCCAAATTGAGGAACTAATCACTCTTAATCTCTTTTTGGTAGTAGACGAGATCATATTGGATGGGATAGGCTTGTCTTGCCAACTTGATAGTATGTAAAGTGAATGAGTTGGTGCATGATAGTGCAGTGTTGTTAGTATTGATGGCAACATTGGATATTTATGAGAAGAGATCGATTGGTGAATTAGTAATGGTTCATGATTTTTCTGAGGTATTTCTTGAAGATGAAAGTGATTTTCCGCCAGAACATGGGGTGGAGTTTACAATTGACTTAGTTCCTGGAAATAGTCTGGTATTGATGGCTTCATATCGGATGTCAGCATCAAAATCAGATAATGATGGAAAATCAACTGCAAATAAATCAGTACAAGTA